GGAACTTACCAGCCCCTCATCCACATCAAGGTACAGATGCATCTGAGAAGGCACCATTTTGGTTTATAAAAGTCAAGATGCAAACTTACAAAAACTGCACTGATATGTAAATGCAAATTTGATGTATGGAAGTATGTCACGGATGGTGTAAACTTACAGAATTTACATGAGACTGGAGAGCACCAGGGACAGATGAAGAAATGTTGAGAGAGAGAACGCTGAATACCTGTAGCAGAAAGCAGACATTTCACATTCTTTGATATTAGAAGGGGTAGGCCACAAAATGTCAAGTAGAATGGAAGAGGGAGTGAGACAAAGACTGAAAGATGATGCTAGACCAGGGTTATTAACCGGTGGCCAGTGAATAGCCAATGGATCATTGTCAGTTGTATTGTATCGGTGATCTTTCTGTGCTAGGGCTCGCGTCCTTGGCCCGCGACCATCCATTTTTAAACGTTTTGGCCCTTGAGTAAACTTGGTTGAATAGCCCTGTGCTAGACTGACGTTTGTCACGGGTAGTGAGCATACTTTAAATCTTTTTTCCAGGCTATGCCAGTGTAGTGGGAAATGAACAGGCAGACAGATTGGCTGTATCTGTGGTGAACTGATACATGACAAGGCAGATGTGGTCAAGGCCCTTTGGAAACAAGCAACAGAATCAGTAGAGAAACAACATTATTATGGCCTAGAGAGAATGAGGCACCAGGTCTTCCTGGCTCACTACACTCAGAGGAAAGGCAAGACGAACATATAACCAGATTGTGACCGGTACCATCAGTATTGGAACTCTGCGCTGGCTGCTGAAAATTGAGGACAGAGCACACATGGGAATTCCCAGAGTGCTGTGATGTCAATTCTAGACTTAACTCTAAGACTTGACGTTGAGAAGAATCTATAGGGGAAATGGGCATCAACACATGACAGAATAACATGAACTGGACCCACTTGCCCTGGACTACAAATAATTTATAAAGGCTGGGTTTTTTTTTCGCGTTTACCGGCTAACTCTGGCGGAAAGTTCTGGGTGTTCATCCACCTCTGAACTTTAGACTTGTTCCAGAACCTGATGCACACATCAGTTTTACAGATCTGACTTATTTGCATGCACTCATGGTTCTTTGCCTGTCAGGCAGATACACCCCGATTTCAAAGGAAATGCCAAGTTAGTTGACTCTTATGACATGCTTGTTGGGGAAGCAGTGAGTCAATTCTTGTTTTCCCCCGAACCCACACAGGGAAAGGCTGGGTTCTAAGAAGAGCTAGTTAGGGTCCACTAACATGAATCAGGGAAAATATCTTCAAGTGCATTATTTTTCAGATTATCCACAGCTAAATTTGACCTGGCAGATTTGAGGTTTAAATGGGCCAGACAATGATCAGTTCACATGGACACCAATGGAAACTGGCATGATCCTGATGTTTGTACACTGGCTGACAAATCACATTTAATATTTGGTCATTGAGACGGCCTGTGGGTGGTGATGCTACTTTACTATGTAAAGTAAGGGTGCCTCATCTGTATAATGTGACACACTGAGGCGCGTGCAGAAAATTTCTTCCACAGTTGTCTTGTGATCTCCTTATATAAATGAAAAAAGCATTTCTCCCCTGTGGGTCAACCTCTGGGTGTAGAATCTTTTAAATTACCAGCTGTCACATCCATCTTAGGCCATTTTGTCTGGTGACCAAATGACTTGTCTTAGTGGGCAGTCTTGTCTGAACTTGTCTCATGGTTTTCTTTTAACCATGCATTGAACTCGAAGCTTGAAAGAAATAAAACTATCATCCTGCTACTTCTAGTTGATGCTTGGACAAGCCGTCGAGTGCTGATCGCAGGCCTTGTTTTGTGATAGAGGTAGACCAGAAATCCAGTCAATATTTTTGGACAAGAAGGAATGTGCTCAAGAACTTGGTAAACAACTGGCAAGATGGAAGGAAAGAGAGTAAGAGGATGGCAAAGAGTTAATACCTGGATAGCTTGGCCAAATGGATGGGGCAAGACAAAAACATTTAACTGATTTGTGATCGTGAGATGAGACATGACAGCCTAGACCTACTGGCATGGCTTGATGGAAAGACCAGACACCATTTGCTTTTTGTGCTTATATTTACCAAGGGAACCTGTGATATGACGATTGTATATATGCTCTTCAGTTGTAATAAACATGGTTGTAGGTTTGTGCGTACTGCCATGTTGTTAATCCCATCCAGAAATATTAGATTTTGTGATTTTCAGTGAAGGCCATAATGCTAGAAATTGATAATGTTGCCGTCACTAATGTTTTAACATTTTATTCATCATTATGCGAATAATTGTTTCTCCTATTTGAGAAAAGGTTTATGTACAAAATACATAGAGCACTGAATTGAAAGATTAAACATAATTTTGTACTGGTAAGACTGGTTTGTTATTTATTATTATAATGTGGGAGATGGTGTTTACTGAAATCTCCACATAGGGGGTTTCATTCTGGAGAACAAATACACCCCCCATCTCCCAATTAGGGATGCTTCTTTCAAAGTTGGAGTGCCTCTGCGGAAGAGACACGGAACCAAATCTGCATCCAAATAAGCCAGATTTTTAAAACGGATGCACAAGCAAAACTGTATCAAGACCAAAGTACAGGATTGGATAAACAACCAAAACTCTCAAGAGTGTTTACGACTACTATGTTATAGAATTAAGAACTTCAGTCGTTTTGCAGAATATGGTGGTTACACTTCTCTTACTATCCATTCTGTCCAGAACTTGTAACTCAGCTGATAGTGTGATGACAAGCTTGCACTGTTCACATAAAGGACCCTTGACAATGGTCCTGGCACACCTCTAGTGCACCATTTGCTCAAGAACGTTCCAGGTCTGTATCAACCTGGCCCACTCCTAGTGCGCCATTTGCTCAAGAACATTCCAGATCTGTATCAGCCTGGCCCACCTCTAGTGCACCATTTGCTTAAGAACATTACAGGTCTGTATCAGCCTTGCCCACTCCTAGTGCACCATTTGCTCAAGAACGTTCCAGGTCTGTATCAACCTGGCCCACTCCTAGTGCACCATTTGCTTAAGAACATTACAGGTCTGTATCAGCCTTGCCCACTCCTAGTGCACCATTTGCTCAAGAACGTTCCAGGTCTGTATCAACCTGGCCCACTCCTAGTGCACCATTTGCTTAAGAACATTACAGGTCTGTATCAGCCTTGCCCACTCCTAGTGCACCATTTGCTAAAGAACGTTCCAGGTCTGTATCAGCCTGGCCCACCTCTAGTGCACCATTTGCTCAAGAACGTTCCAGGTCTGTATCAACCTGGCCCACCTCTAGTGCACCATTTGCTCAAAAACGTTCCAGATCTGTATCAGCCTGGCACATCTCTAGTGCACCATTTGCTCAAAAACGTTCCAGATCTGTATTAGCCTGGCACATCTCTAGTGCACCATTTGCTCAAAAACGTTCCAGGTCTGTATCAGCCTGGCACATCTCTAGTGCACCATTTGCTCAAAAACGTTCCAGGTCTGTATCAGCCTGGCCCACCTCTAGTGCACCATTTGCTCAAAAACGTTACAGTTACAGGTCTGTATCAGCCTAATGTGGTGGTCTGGAGAGTCGTTTCTGGAAGATGAGGCTGGTTTCCACAAAGATGGATTCAAGATGGCTATGTAAGCACATAAGGCTTTTTAAAAAAAAAGGCCCTTTACTTGCTCAGGTTTAGACATTATTTTAGAGCATATAAAGGTAATGTTCTGGGAAATAAAGGCTGCTGACATGACATTGACAGCATCACTCACGACAGGTTGATTGTCTAAATTATATCGTACACCCCATGTGGCACTGGCATAAAATAACCCTTTAGAAAATGTTTGGAGAAGCAGTGTGGTAGCTGACCCCCAAGATGAGATAATTTACCCCTTGATGACATGGCAGGAGGAATGGTAAATACTGCGTTAAATAGTCATTACGTCTGGAGTATCATCATCAATTTCCAAATCCTGAATTCCAGATTGAATTTATGGCGCCTCCATTAGACGTAGAGCCACTGGCACAAGGCTAATTATTCAAAGACAGAGGCAGGTTTCCACAAAGATGGATACAAGATACCCAAGATGCATTTACTATGAAAGCACATAAAACTTACCAAAAAAGAGAGAGAGAGACTTTTAGGAACATTGTGATGTTCTGCAAAGACAGGCTAATGACCAGGTCTCTGTACTCATACAATCTGATTGGATGGGTGATCATCAGCTCTTGATGGATGTGTCAACAACATTCCGGCTGACGTTATTCCCTCTGACATTTCATAGCACCAGTTTTTGGCGGGGCCCATCCTCAGCAATCCAAATATGATTTCAAGACTCGTACCAGCTACTTCTCCCATCACATATGGTTTAGCTCATAATTTTACAGGCAAATCCTTGGGTGATTTGGTCAATATTACTTCGGCCCCCATTTCTTTTCAAGACATTTCCTAGTTCTTATTTTAGACTGGGCTGGCCTAAAAAAAATCTGCACTGGTGAGAGTTTAACCATCTGTCTGGCAAGCTACCATGAAAGTGAAATTAATTCTAACAAAAAAAGTATGTTAACTTTTTGAGACCCAAGGAGCGCATCATACATTCATAGGTTCCTATCTAGAAGCCCAGTGAACGCAAGATGCATTGATTTTACGACTCTATTTACTACCCCCTGGGCCTGTGATGCTAATCCCCCTGGTACGCTAAAGAGTTAAACTAGTGAAAATCTTAAGTCCTCAACCATGTCACAGTAACAATAGTGTATGTTATAATAAGCTGGTGCCTTTTGTATTTGTCCAGTCGCAAACAAGACATAGAAGACCAGTCCCACACAAGACATAAAAGACCAGTCGCGCACAAGACATAGAAGACCAGTCACACACAAGACAGATGACCAGTCGCACACAAGACAGAAGACCAGTCCCACACAAGACAGAAGACCAATTTAAGTTAAAAAAACAATGCAAACTCGTTTGGTAATAATTTATTGAAATGTCTAGAACATGATCATCTGCCCCTGTAAATAAAAGAAAGAAACAAATTATTACACACTATAGAAAAAAAAAAATTGTATAAGTTGTATAAAGCCACTAAAAAATCTGAATTTATGAGGTAAATTTATAATGTATAAATACAATGCATAAACGATGCCGTTTTATAATGTATAAATACAATGCATAAACGATGCCGTGCCATTTAGACCTGAACTGATCACTGACTCAACTTCTAGCCTACAATTGTAACAAAGCAGTTCATGCCGCCCTCCACACAACCATGATTCTTAAGATGAATGTCACAGGTAGGGTGGTTCCTGTTTATGTTCCTACTTTGAGATTATCACAATCTGTAGCAGGGCCTTTGTTGATTTACATCATGTGCCCATCTTTCTACCGGCTGGCCCCTGCCTCTGTTTCCTGATCCCATGCCTTATAATTCTTTTTTCCCAATCTATCTATATTTCAGTTTCTATGACAAGATGCTGTTTACTAGCTAATCTTCCTTGAAGTTCAGATCCTTTAGGATGTCAGTAATTTTTTGCTTCTTTGCCACCGGTATTTTATGAGAATCTTTCTATAGCATATCACCTCAACAGCCTATTTCTTACTTTTTTAAGAGCTAAGATCATGCCATACAAATCTACTTATGCTTAATATCTTCTTCAGCAAGCTGAGCCCCTGAGGCAGATCCCCCGCCTCCTGCTCCCCCACCCATTTATCTGTTATTTGTCTATTTCCCCATTTGATGACTTAGTGTTTGTATGTCTGCCTAAATATTATCTCTCCACCGCCTGCCACCTTGGCATGCCTTATAGACTACACCTAGGCTATTCCACTAAGTTTACATGATGGCCAAATGTTGGAAAATGGGGATTGTCACAGGTCAGAGCTCCAGCATAGAAAGACCATCAATACAATAAGCATGCGAAATGTGGGCAACTTACTAGGCCTACGCTGACCAGATTTGGCACGCAAGCCTGGCAGCTGAATGGCAGGCTACAAGGCAAAAGGCCACCAAAAAATACGGATGAAAGCAGTAAAAGAAATACAGAAATGCAAAATGACGTTAACGTTAGTCAAAGATAGGAAACTACATATACTCTTCTCTCTGTGAAGCTTCAAGGCATTAGTAGTAGGACAAAAGAAAAAACATTTGAGACTTGCTGGGCAGTGCTGCTTTTGCACAAATCTCTTGGAAAGAGAATTAAAACTAATGTTAAGTGAGCTGCCTTGTGAACAACCACATTCATGGACATTAATATTCTGTGATGCAGCACTTTCACCACTCATCACAACATAAAGACATTGTAATACCAATAAGCAGAACCCCATGAGTTTCTGGGGCCCCTTTAAATGTAGGAAAAAGACCCACTGTCTCCCTAACATATGTTGTAAGAGTCAACTAATTGGGATTTTTCTTTAAGGCGGATTGCATCTGCCTGACAGGCCAGGAACCAACAGGCTGCATTCAAATGAGCCAAGATCATAAAACAGATGCACAGGCAAAGTTCAGAAACACAACTAAAGCACAGAAGTGGTCAAACAACCAGAATTTGGCACCAGCCGGTCAACATTCAGAAGAAGAATAAGCAGAAGTAATGCAGGATGTGTCTGCACACACCACGTACCTTTCTCTTCTTGTCACCACCCAACTCAAAGTGTTTACAACGTTTAATGGGCAATTGTTTCCTGTATTTGCATTCTGTGCACTCCATGCGTAAGACAATTTTACGTGTTGTCTTTGCCTGAAATCAAAAGCAGTCACAAGTCAATAGGCAACTGTAATTTCTCCAATAATGCAGTATTTAAACTTTTAACTGCACACAATCAAGTAGCTGTTACAATCCAACAGAAGGTTAATATTTCTATTTGTCTTGATTCACTACACTTTATTAATTTTTGTGTGTGACATTAAAATTCTTTTTGGTGACTGAATGATTTGTCATTTTGTCTTCTTCTGCCTTCTATCACTCAGATGAGCAACCAACTCATGCCACGTCTTTCTAACCTTTACTACTGCATTTAGCTAGCCCCATGGCCTTTCCATCCTTTAAACTTCACTCTCTAGATCCCGCCTCCGTGTGTTTTCTGGTCTGCCTTTATTTGTATGTCTTTGTGGGTACCAGTGCAAAGACATTCTAGTTATACTGAACATTTTCTGTCATTTGGTGCCGCATAATTACTATTGCATTTACATACATTTCTCCTAACACTATCTCCAGAAAACAATACGACATTAAAACTCAGACGAATCCATGCACTAACTCAACCCAGTGCGAATTCCTTATGTTACGTAAATTGTAAACAGTCTTCTGACATTATCAATAGTCAATAAACATGCCTATAAATAGCATGAGAGTCAGGTAGTCCACTGTGACATTAGCAGGGAGAATCTTGGCAGAGAGGGTGTACAAAAACTGGCCATCAGAACTATAAGTACCCATACTCTGCACCAACTAAAGGAAATAGACCCCTTGGGGGATTGTCCAAAGTGGTATGTAATGTCAACTATTTCTTTTTACTGTTGTCTGTAGTAATGCTAATGGGAATATATGAGGATTCACATTACCTTCTTTCTAAACACAGGCTTGGACTGACCACCATAACCACTCTGTTTCCGGTCGTAACGTCTTTTACCTATAGTGTCAAAAGAAAATGAATCATTCATAACTGACAAACTTTAACGCAGGTAACTGAGAGACAGACAGACACACACACAAAGAAAGAATAAAAATAAATTTGTTCAAAACAAAAAATCTTTTGCAAATATACAACTAGCAAAAATAGGAATAGCTCAACCAAAGGCAGCATTTTACAAAATAAAGAATATTTAATGCAATCTTTCTCTGTTAACTGAGACGAGAAAGAATTGTTAAAAGCTATATAAATCCTACATTGATATACCGGAGTGAATCATGGACAGTGAATTAGTGAAGACATATTTGAAAGGTGCAGATAAGATGTGTGATTTTAGAGAGATATGATGAGAATACCTTGGACAGATAAAAAGAGTAATGAAGATATCTTGAAAGAAACTGGCTCATGAAGAGAACTGATTGCCCACATCAGAAAGAGATAATTTACATTCTTTAGTCATGTGGTGAGAAACAGAAAACAAGTACATTGTGACAGTTGGAAAGTTGGAGGGGAGGGGAGGCAGACCAAGAGAACAGATGCTGGATAGTTTGACATCATGTCATGGAAGATCAGTGTCAGAGTTCATTGAAAGTACAAGAGACGGAAGGTTGTGGACAGACATGACTACTAATACCACGCGGTATTGACTTTAAAAACTGGTGCTGGCTGCATTCGAAGATGTCCAAACCATTTCACATTTGAGCCATTATTTATTAAAAAGAGTAATCCTCAGATCTGTCTGATAGTAGTATCTCATCTCACTATCTTTCGGATGGTTAAAGTCCAGATGTTGAATTTCTTAACAGGCAGCTTTTTTCAGTTACCTCACTTTTATTGCTGACATGAGTTTTTGAGTGTTCAAACAACTTGTGCATAATTTTTGGTACTTTGCGGCTTTCAAGATGATAGTGTCGTATTGTGCTATAGGGAGGGGGTGGGGATTACATCCCACAGCGAGTGTGACTAGCAAGAACCACCCATGTTAAGGAAGTTTTCTACAATAAGAAGTGTGACTATGACAAGCAAGACCTACCCACGTTAAGGAAGCTTTCTACAATAAGAAGTGTGACTATGACAAGCAAGACCCACCCACGTTAAGGAAGCTTTCTACAATAAGAAGTGTGACTATGACAAGCAAGACCCACCCACGTTAAGGAAGCTTTCTACAATAAGAAGTGTGACTATGACAAGCAAGACCCACCCACGTTAAGGAAGCTTTCTACAATAAGAAGTGTGACTATGACAAGCAAGAGTCACTCACGTTAAGGAAGTTTTCTACAATAAGAAGTGTGACTATGACAAGCAAGAGTCACTCACGTTAAGGAAGCTTTCTACAATAAGAAGTGACTATGACAAGCAAGACCTACCCACGTTAAGGAAGCTTTCTACAATAAGAAGTGACTATGACAAGCAAGACCCATCCACGTTAAGGAAGCTTTCTACAATAAGAAGTGTGCCTATGACAGGCAAGACCTACCCACGTTAAGGAAGCTTTCTACAATAAGAAGTGTGACTGACAAGCAAGACCTACCCACGTTAAGGAAGCTTTCTACAATAAGAAGTGTGACTGACAAGCAAGACCTACCCATGTTAAGGAAGCTTTCTACAAAAAGAAGTGTGACTATGACAAGCAAGACCTACCCACGTTGAGGAAGCTTTCTACAAAAAGAAGTGTGACTATGACAAGCAAGACCTACCCACGTTAAGGAAGTTTTCTACAATAAGAAGTGTGACTGACAAGCAAGACCCACCCACGTTAAGGAAGCTTTCTACAATAAGAAGTGTGACTGACAAGCAAGACCTACCCACGTTAAGGAAGCTTTCTACAATAAGAAGTGTGACTGACAAGCAAGACCTACCCACGTTAAGGAAGCTTTCTACAATAAGAAGTGTGACTGACAAGCAAGACCTACCCATGTTAAGGAAGCTTTCTACAAAAAAGAAGTGTGACTATGACAAGCAAGACCTACCCACGTTAAGGAAGCTTTCTACAATAAGAAGTGTGACTATGACAAGCAAGACCTACCCACGTTAAGGAAGCTTTCTACAATAAGAAGTGTGACTATGACTAGCAAGACCCACCCACGTTAAGGAAGTTTTCTACAATAAGAAGTGTGACTATGACAAGCAAGAGTCACTCACGTTAAGGAAGCTTTCTACAATAAGAAGTGTGACTGACAAGCAAGACCCACCCACGTTAAGGAAGTTTACAATAAGAAGTGTGACTATGACTAGCAAGACCCACAAAGGTTAAAAAGTCTTCTAAAATTAGTAGAGGCCGGCCTCAACATCAACCCATCTGTTAATTCACTGTATTCCCCTGTGGTTTCTGGGGTCCCATTATGGTAGAAACAAGAATAGACTCACTGCATTCTCAACAAGCATGTCCTAAGAGTAGACTAAGTGGAAGTTCCACCTATAGTCGGTGTGCATCTGCCTTAGAAGCAAAGAACCAACGGTCTGCATACAAATATTTAATAAGAAATGTAAAATGGATGTACACGCAACACTCAGGTTCTGGAACTAGTCCAGAGGTGGATGAACGTGAATGTGAAGAATAATAATTCACCGTAGAGGATGTCATTAGGAACTCTACTATTCTCCATTCTCCAAGTGTGACCCAGCCACCTGAGCCTTCAGAGATTTAGCACTGAGAAAATTGTTGCCCACCATGCGTGTATGTGAAATAGACACTGCAGAAGAACAGCATCAAGCATATGTCTACAGTATACATACATACCTTGCGCATACAGTGAGGCTTTGCCAGCCTTGTACTGTGTCACTTTGTGCACTGTGTGTTTCTTGCATTTTTTGCCTTTGCAAAATGTCCGCCGCTGTTTAGGAACATTCACCTGTAATATATTTGTTATCATACTGTTATTCATATGTTATCATTTGTTACTGTACTGTGCTGACTGGTGTCAACAATGCCCCCATTCCCAGTACATAGTCACCAAATTGGAGAATGTCTAGTGCTAATCATTCCCAGTACTACGGTACTTAGTCACCAAATTGGAGAATGTCTTGTGCTAATTATTCCCAGTACTACGGTACTTAGTCACCAAATTGGAGAATGTCTTGTGCTAATCATTCCCAGTACTACGGTACTTAGTCACCAAATTGGAGAATGTCTTGTGCTAATCATTCCCAGTACTACAGTACCTAGTCACCAAATTGGAGAATGTCTAGGGCTAATCAGTTGGTGTTCAACATGATCACAGTTGATTTCCCTACTAAACACATGTAAAAAAAAGGGGCACAGAGAGCTAGAGGGAAAACCCGTCTACTGATATACTATAAATTTATGAAGCGCATCAAAAGGCCCATAAACTACACTTTATCTCGACACTGCAAGGTATATAAGAGGAACGAGATGAGGTGACCATATTTTCATAGAAATATGTAATAAAAAATATAGAACATGAACACTATGAACTATGATTTGTTTTATTATATTATTTCATTTGAAAAAAATTTCTAAGTCTTCGCTAGTGCCGTTTAAAAGCATCCTGTCTGTTATGCGGATGATTGGTGTAGTGTACGATTCTCAGCGGGCGATTTTTGTGTGTGCGTGCTTCTTAAATTAAAAGGTGGTTTGCACGTGGTGTTGGGTTTACAACTAGGCTGCGTATCTGTGCCTTTCGTTGGTCTTGTGTTAAACAGCTAGGTTGTGACTGGCCTCAATTATTATTTCACAGCATTATTGGTACGTATTGTTCCATATTTTGTTGTTCGTGTTCCATATTTTGTATAACCTCTTTAGCCCCTTGAGGCTCTAAAAGGGATGTTTGGGACCGGTATTCGGAAGAATAGGGCACTCTTCCGAATACCGGCCCCATATTATTTACTGTCCAAAACATTCCTGTTATTCGGAAGAGTGCCCATCCATTTTGCTTATCTGGTTTATTTCTATGCAGTTTTGATTCCTTATGTATCAGGCAGACAAACTTAAGAAAATACCCTCTATTTAGTCAACATTTACAACATGCTTGCTAAAGAGGCAGTGGGTCTCTCCCCCCCCCCCTTCTCTCTCTCTCTCACACAATGGGGATCCAGAAACCACAAGGTAGAAAGGGTGTGAGGGTGTGTGTGTGTGTGTGTCAGAAATAGATAATACTTAGTATCACTGACATGTAGTAGTAATCGTAATAGTATTTTTTAACAGTTTTTAGTTTATGTTTGGTCTGATATCCTATAAAAAATATATAAGATGCCACTTGGCTACGATCCAGAGGGTAAAAAAACATCTAAATGCATTATCTGTTAGTAAAGAGAAAGTAGAAAGATGGCAGTCGCCCAGTAACAGTAGTAGTAGTAGTTTAAGTAGTATTCTTTTCATATTTCACATTGTCCTAACTCTAACCCGCCCTAACCTCAAACAATATCAGATATGAAAGAATATTGTTATTATCTAAACTTACACAAACAATGCATGATGTCCCGTGGAGTTGACTTATAGTAATGTTAACTTAACCCTCTTACTTAGCACGGACGGGCCGATTATCGGCCGGCGGATGTCTTGCCAAAAACACGGAACGGCCGATGATCGGCCCGATCGTGTTTCGCCTCGAACCGCTAAGAAATCTCCTACTTTGAAACACTGAAAGTGATTCATTTATATTAACTGCGGTATCAGCTTTACACATGGCGACTTTCGAGTGTTTGGTATCGAAGTGAAAATTGTTGTTGAATTTTTTAGATAGTGACCTGAACCGCTAAAAGCATGTCTGACTCGTATGTTTCTGCCCCTAAACTTGATGTTGATAAAACATTTGAATCAAGTGTTGACACTAATTCTGTTGCTACTGATGCAGGATTTAGTGTTTGTAGTTATAGTGGGAATCAGATGGCGACGCTGTTGTGTTCAGACCACAGCCCAACCATGGCTCAGGGTATATCCACCCGAAGGTGTTGACACTCCGACACATCCATTTATAGTGCTGACTGATGGTGAAAAACACATGTCACCTAAAGATATTATTGCTGTTTCACATATATATACCTGTTTTTGACTATTGAATTGCTTACAACATTTGTAAAAAGGCCAAAGATCAATAAAAAGATTTCAAATAAAAAAAATTTTTGTTTTTAGTTTTATGTTTCAAGCATTGAAGTTGAAAATTCAAATTCATATTTTCTATTTTTAGATATGCAAATGAGATAATTTGCATATGCATCAATTAATTTTAACGATATTGTGAAAATCACGAACTTCAATCTATATCCTTCAAATAGATATATTATTTCATAGGGGTCAGAATAACAGAAATCTGTCAAAAAAATTAAATAAAGTAATAACCAAATTCACTGAAAAAATGCTCCGTGTTTTTGGCTAGACCTTTGAAAAACTTCCCGTGCTAAAAGGGTTAATAGATTAAGTCCCTAGGGTGGCCGCAAGAAGAAACATTTTATAGAGTAGTAGATAAGAAAACAGTACAGAGCCAGTGTATCGCATTCGAATCTATGCAACCTATTTTATTTATAACTAATTTAAAACAAAATTACGGCAGAAAATGAAACAAATTAAACCCCCAAAAAAAATTATTATGAATGAATTATGCTTAGGGAGAAAGTTTTGAAAATTGACAACAGAGCCGAGGGCGCCGAGGCAAAGAAAGAAGAAAGGTCTCCGAAAGAATTTAAGATTTATGTGACACTATGAAAAACTGGAAACAAATATAAACAATGCCATCTTTATGTAGGACAGCAGATAAACTGAAAGACCAGACAGAGAAATGTGCCGAAAACGTAGGATCTTTATTGTCAACCCTTACACTAATAATACCTAACCAGGGTATTGATTATGTACGGTGATGTTTCAATAAAGTTCTCACTTTACTGGATTCCTATAAATTAAAAATACAGTTTTTGCAACCGACATATTATACGTAATAATTGAAACAAATATCAACACCGATGAAAAGTTTCATTATGGAGAGGATTTTAAAAGATTGTATAAATACGGCACTCACCATCTTGAAGTTTACATAGGAAAAGGAAGTAGAACGCCAAATTGGCACTTGCGCATGCCCAGATAACATCCAAAAGGATCGTCATAATCAGTCCCGACTGCATTTGGGGTTCAGATCAACGGCCAGGCCGTCCATTGCCTCGCCGGTAGACAACTTCGTCGCTGGTCGGAACAGTATTTGGGTCTGCCTCCATTGATTGCACCAACACTACAGGAGTCCTTTTAGTGGCGTGCAGTGGGATGATATCCTGGAAGAGAGTCGTAACAGAACCGGTACTGAACTCTATAAGTAGACAACAAATCAAATGGTTTGGCCATGTCATAAGATTGGCACCAGACAGAGTACCACAGAGAGCAATGTTACACATATACAGCAGTAACAGACCCAGAGGTTGACCACGCAGAATATGGCTCGCAGAAATATAAGAGAAACGGAAAAGTACTGTGTACAAAGCGAACAGAAGGGCCCGTTCCGGAGATCTTTCCCTATCCCGACGCAGCGAGGCATTCTAAGAGTCGAGAAAAGAAAAAGAAGAAACAATGTTAAGCCATTTTAAATGGCGCACATAACCTAGTGACAATGAACCTATAGCCCCTCCCCCCCCCCCCCCTTTTTTTTTTTTTAGAGGATGCTGGTTAATTAAATGTGACAATTTTTTTTTTCGAACAAAGTAACGGACGGTATTTGGGGTTATCAAACCCCCGCCTGGTACGGACTTAGGTTACTTCGTTATCGTCGGGGCCCCTAATATAACCTTACTGTTGGACAGGCTTACTTTAATCACCGTCATCCCCTTTGTGGGATGCAATATTTTGAAGCCCCAAACTGGCTATTGCCAGGGGCCGCAATATAGCCTAACGATTGAACTCGGTTTCCGGGACCTCTCCACTTGGGATCCTCATCCGCATGGTGGCACTTTGTGTCATGGGGTGTTTATCGCTCTGTGTAATGTCCTGTTAGGGTAAAATTTACTTACAGGCTCACTGTGATCTGTATAATCCGGGATTTTTATGCTTGAGGAATTAATCATGCGGATTGCACTCTTGGATAGGGACAAACTGCAAGCATGCATTGGGGCGTCCTTACTCCTTACCTGTATACGACTGAAGGTCTGTCATGTAGATGTGCTTTCCAGACTGAGGTTTTTAGATCTTTGGATGGCAAGGTAAACCAGCAGGTAGCAGCTCGAAGGGACAAATCGATCAATAGCAAGAGTACCTCGTCATTACCCGTACATGACTGCAGGTGACACGTGGCTGGTGTAACTGCCATCGAAGGCCTAATTATAACTTCTTTGGAGTTTAAACAGGGTATCTGCCTTGTTAGTCTGTAGTCTAGATTGAAAGTTTTCAGTCTCATGGTGGTATGGTAAAGCTTTATTGAGGTGGCGGTCCAGTGGGGAGGGGAGCAAAACTATCGATCAATCTTCTTCTGTGCGTTCACCGCCAGTAAACTGGCAGAAAGTTATGGTTGTTCGTCTACTTCTGGATTTTAGTCTTATTCCAGAACCTGAGGGTTGCGTACGCACCAATTTTACAGATCGGACTTTTTTGCATGCAGACTGGTGGTTCCTTGCCTCTGTTAGACGCACTCTGACTTCCCAGGATGCCCCCCCCCTCCCTTTTTTCAGTTAATCGACTCTTCAGACATGTTTGTTTAGGGGGCAGTGTTTCCTACGAAGGGGGCCCTGAAACCCACACGGGGAATCATCATCATTCGAGCGCAGACTGTCCACACGAACGCACCTCTCGTTTACGCTTGAACGCTGTCTCTCCATTCGTAGCCCGATTCTCGATAATCAGATACTTGACACCGATTCGCTTGATATTCGGCTGAGTCAGTCTTGACTGGTTGTTTGACATTCGGCGTTGCGGGTGGAG